TCTCTTCTTTTTCTTCAACATATAAAATATCTTCCTGACATAAAATATCTTCTGTCCTCCTGATTTCATTGGGTTTGATCAGGGGCATAGCTGAAAGCAGAATTGGAACTTGCATGCTTCATATAGCTAGTACCATCTTAAACCCAGAGAGGCCCAGTTTGCAACTAAAACAGTGAAGTAACATGTTTATAAAAACCTACCTTCTGATTTATTGTAATTAAAATTTTGTTCAGGTGCACATGTGACCCAAGGGAGAAGGAGGGAGGGAAAACATTGAATCCTGGATATCCCATCCAGGGATGAGCTATGGATACCCTGCTGTTGGCGCCAGTGCCCCTCATGCATTGACAGGACCTGGATCTGTGCAATGCAGTTGGGCGAATTCCCCCCGGCTGGAGCCATCTCTTCAGTAAGGTTCAAGCTACCACATATTTGTCTCCCATCCTCTGCACAGAGAACTGGTCTGTTCATGGAGGGGAGAGAGATGGGGATTGAATTTCCTTTCATCGGGACCCATCCCACTGCAGGATGGGTCCTGCTGTGTTATCTCACAGCCCCCAGACCTGTGCACTAAAAAGGAGGGATTCTTCCACAGCTGGACCCATCCTGGATTGGAAGTGGTCCAGCTGCAGTACCTCCTGCCTCCATCCACAGCTCCAGGTAAACTGAGGACTGGAGGCAGGGGCAGGCTGAAGACAGTCTGTCAGCCAGGAGGTTGGATGGGTGAAGGAGTCTGCCTGGCTAGAAAGCTCACCTTTGAGGTGACTGCTCTCCAGCCAGAGGACTATGACACTTGTACACTCCCCCTCTCTCCAGCTTTTTCCACTGGACTTGCATGCCCATCCATAACCGCTGATAGCTTTTTTGTTAGACTTTTCAAAATCTGTACCCAGAGTTTGCTTTGATGCATCATGCAGCCTTCTCGACTTAATTGGTACTAAAGGGATGTACCTAAAGGCAGAGTTTGGTCCCAATGATCAATAGTTTCTGATCATGGATGGCTGAGCAAGTAAATCTGTGGCCACATAAGTATGTCTGTATTCATATGGCAGCTAATCTACTTGTGGTTACGGAGAACCGGGCACGGTGGGCCGAGGGTATACGAACAGGTGGGATTAGCGACGGTTGAGTCTGAGTGGCAAACAAGCTTACGGTTCCAACCAAAATGGTTTATTCAACTTACGCTTTGATGGCGTAGGCACGGATGTTCTTCAGTTACAGTATAACAACGAAGGGGTCTGTTGGCCCACGGGGTTCTTAGGTGAGCCCTTGCTTTCTAACCCCGAAGGGCTAGGGGCGGCTGCTCAACCTAATAGTCCCAGGGCTAGTCAACGGCTCATAAACGGGACAAACAACAGAACTGTAATGAAACGAAAGTCCAATGTGGACGAAAGCGGGTTGTGAACGATGCCGAAGTCGATGGAAAACGGTGCCAAGGTCGATGCCAGAACGATGGGACGGAGGGATGGTCGAGGATAAAAGCCAAGGTCGGAAGCCGTGGAATCAAGGTAAGTTCGGTTTGAGAGTCCATTAATCAGTATCAGAGTTGTAGTCGTAGCCGGTGCCAGTTAAATCGAAAGCTAGAAAATCAATAAGAACGAATCGGAAAATCGCTATTGGAGGAGACCGATAGGCCGCAGAGCCTAACTGAGGGACAGTCCCTGAGAACCAGACTCTGTCCTCAGTTCAGCGGGTCTCCCCCCGAGGGAGGGACTCACCAACCTTTTATAAGAATTTAGTGGCCAATTAGAACGCTCCCCTCACAGAATTTTCTGGTCTGATTATGTCAGGCAGTCAGAGAACTGAGCATGCATCTGACTAGGCTTTGTATCTGACTGAGCATGTGCATGGTGGAAAAGTAGGTCATGCTTGATTAACAGGCCTTCAGGTCACCCAGGGGGCACATGCTGGGTGAGCCTTGGAATTTTCCACTCAAGGACTAAAGTGTGCATGCTAGCTTTTGACTCTTCTGTGTTGTCAGCACCCATAACTTAAGATTTTTCCATGACACTACTTAGCTTGGTTTGAAGAGGAATGGGTGGTATATTTGGAATTGCCCAGTATGACTGAGAACCATGGCCTTTTGTGCGTTTCTCTTCTTGTGTTTATTATTTCTCGTCACCAAAGATATTTTTTGCAGGCTTTCATGATGCTCATTTTAGGCTCTGAAGTTTGTAAGATATAGATGATGATGGAGGTGGTGGTATAGTGCAATGTAAGAGACCTTGGTTGATACTTTCCAAAGTTCTCAGAGTTATTAAAACTTGACTGCAGTCTTTTTAGCACAGTTCCAGATATACAAAGCTGTTTGTAAAGAAAGATCAGTTAAGCATTTTCAGATTTAAGATTTTCATCATCAGATCATTTACCTTTAGAGGCTGGAAACCAAAGAACAATGTTCTGCAAACCAATGCAGCTGCCTAAAAAATGGATCATTCACATTTTTCTGGTCTTTCACAATGGGGAGTGCCAATACAAAGCTTCAAAGCATATAGTTCAGAAACCATTTTGTTATGCCAGAAATGCTGAGTTGCACAATCATTCTGGCAATGGAACAGATCTCACCCTTCAAATCCTTGTAAACAAATAGCTCCTTTTCTCTAGGAGAAAAGATACAGCCTTTTTTTTTAAATGGTGACTGTATTTCAGAAGTTATTTTCAAGATGTTTTTAATAACCCACAGAATGCCACAGATATTTAAGTGTCACAATGGTATTTTTTGTGATATGGTCTCAAGTTATAATTAAAATTAAAATCCTAACTTTTTAAATAGTGGGTTATAGTTTTTTAAACAAGAAAACACTGGGTGTGTATATATTGTATGGCTTTGATTATAAGTCTACATTTGGTTCCTCCAAATGAACCATAAAAATGGCACTTGACTCATAAGCAGGGTCAGCATATAATGGGGCCCCCAACAGTCTTGATTTACATTTTCAGTATTTTTTGGTATGAGTTAAAAATGCCAAGTTATTTTTTCTTTAGTTTAGCATTTTTAGTGCATTTAACCCTTTGAATACTTCCCATGGTTATTTGATTCCCTCATGGGATTTTTCAATAGTAATGGCAGTTCATGGTCTTTGTCTGAAATTATCAACCTATATTCAAGGAAAAAGCTATTTCTTTCGAAAAATGAACATGATAATGTAGGATTTGTTTATCATTGGAACAATGTTATGTTGGGAATGGGGGTGGGATTCGATCCATGGATTCTTGATTTTGCAGTTTTGCTTCATTAATTTGCTAAATATTTCATTTGTATGCTTAATTCAACCCATTTGTTTAATTTGAAATATGGATGAAAAAAAGTGCAAGGACTTAGTACTAGGTAATCTTGACCAGGAATGCAAGCAGATAAACCTGTTATCAATTCTGCTTTGTAAATGGTGCTCCTGCTGATTTTCAATTATTGTAAACCTCTCTCTAAGCAAAGTAGTTTTCATTGAATAAAATAAATAGTATTGTAAAGGTAAAAGATGGTCTTTTATCTGGTAATTACAATGTAATGTGCTTTAAATAATCTTCTCATCATGAGTTGGCATTTTCTAACTGACCCAGTTTGCTCTTAAAGTTCAAATAGAGACAGACAGATGGATTAACGGGTATGCATGCAGGGTCAGAATAAATGGTTTGCTAGGCTACATTGCTGAACATAGTTTTTAATAGTGCTGATCCTTTCTGACTAGGAGATTTGCAAAGCTTTGTGGAATAGTTGTCTTGCTGGCAGACAGCATTGTGTAGAAAACCAAGTGCTGGTGATAAAATTAAAAATGTGGCATTAGTCATCTCTGACTGTAAGTTGAATTTTTCTCTCCCACCTTGACCCTCCCCCACAAAAATGGAATTCTTATGCTAATATGAGGAAAACATCCTATTTAAGAGCAGCAGTCCGGCTGTGCAGTCAGTGTGTTAGGGAGTTGCCCATTCTCAGGTTATTGGTCACAATCCATTTGAATAAATGTAGTCATTGTACCCCCGAGTAAAATTAGACTTTTGCAACTGGATTTTTGATGTGGCAACCTGTAGTTCAAGCAATCTCGTTTTTGACTTTCTCTATTTGGGTATGTGTGACATTACAAGCCATGTTACTCACGCACCCAGTAGACTATAATGTACGTAGTGCAGTATCAGGAGGAGCTCTGTTGTAGTCCTTAACAAACTCAGCTCCATGCCTAATGCCTGTTCTAAAAGTTACTTGCTGACTCTTTTCATAATCTGTGCCTGGGATTGACAGCATTATTAGAGTAGTAGACTGGAGGGTTGCCCTGCTCTCACTTGTACGATGCTAAAAATATTTCATGTCAATAAAAAATGTAAGTCATAGGAGTGTAAGATATGCCGTATAGCTCAGACCACAAGCTCTCATTCCAAACCTATTGAATTACGTCCATAGGAATCTGTCCATTGACTTATTTGAACTGGACCCATCTAATTATTTTCTTTTCTATATTTCCATTTTAATATTTTCCCTTATTCGCATTTGGACCAAGAAACATAAATCCTGCAAAATAAACAAGAGTTTATCCTTATGCTAATTGTCTAGGTAGTTCCTGAACATGCTTCAGGGCTTTCTCTGGTGTAAGATTTTATATTATTTTCTAGAAAAGATTTTAGTGAAGTAGCTGTTGCTACATGGGCAACTGATTCTCGAGGAGTTTTTCCACTGGTTCCAGCCTGTATGATTTTTCCTGTTTAAAGCAGCAGAAAAATATTGGGAAATCATTATGTTCTTGCTGGTCTGTGCAATGGTTCTTGTTTTAAATGTAGCAACTGAGCCACATGAGTTATAGTCTCTTCCAATCTGTAGATGCATGGGTAATTTCTTCTAGTTTGAGATTGCAAATTTTTGTTTGAATTGGTAGTAAAACTGGAAGCTTATTAAAAGTTACACAAAGTTCATCAGGGCTGCCTGGTCATTTGAATATTTTTCTTGTTCCCCCCTTTCTCACCCTTGTCTATTTTTTCCTCTAATTATTGTATTGTTTTTCCAGTGATGGGACCCTGTCTTTTTGTGCCTGCTGAGTTTCTTCTATTGTCTATAACTCATTGATCCAACACATTGATTCTAAAATTTTTCAAGGACTGGAGTAGAAAAGTTCAAACTCTTCCATTAAAGCTGTACAACTCTCTTTAGTATCTTCCAATTCTGCCTGTTTTCAAATTTATGTCATGTTACTGTTTGTTTCTAATGCAGTGCTGCTAGCACCGTTGTGTTTATCAGTACTAAAAGACTACTGCTTTGTTTTTCTTTTTCTAGTCATGTTGAACTGAGCCTCAACTCTTTTTCCTCCCAGCAGACGTGTCCATGGATGTTTCTCCTCTTTTAAAGTCCTGCTTTGGTTCAGTATTCTGCTGCATTAGACAGCAGCTTTACTAGATCTGTGAGTAATGGAAACGTTGCTCATGCATTACATTACTTGAACGTACCCACCACTTAGGTAAACATTTGTTCCCCTAGGTCTTCTGTTCCAAACCAAGTAAAAGAGAAGAAAAGAATTGATATTTTGCTGTTTTCAAGTAAACAAAAATTTTCCACTGGAAATGTACAAGTATACAGAGGCAGGCCTGGTATACAAAAGTAGGCAGTGATGGCAGAAGATATGAGGTGGGGAGTGGGGTGGAAAAAAAGCAAAACTGACCACATTCTGTCTGGTTTTCCCTTTTTAAAGAGAATATTCCCCTTAAAATAATCCAGTTCATGTTACCTTTCCAAAGTAAGTCTACTACTACTTTTTAATTCAAAGTCCCTCAGCGTTCTGTTTGCAGATCAATTTTTGCAAAGGCAGTGAGAGATGGAACAACTCATGTTTCAATCAACATCATTTGATTCCTGTCCTCCTTTAAGTGTGAGTACTACTGCAGCAGTGGAACTACTCCTCCTGTGTCAGTAAGATTTATCCCTCATGCCTGAGAAGGTGAATCAAGCCCAAATTGCCAAAATATATTGTTGTATGTAGAGCCTGTGTAAGGAAGGAAGCAAAATAAATGTTAGGCATTAGGCCTAAAACTTTGGTACTAAAAACCATGTTGCCTTACTGAAAATCTCTACAAATGTACTTTTGGGGACCTTGGTTTGCAATAATATGGGTGTTTTGTATCAAACTCCATTTAATTTAATTCTGAAGTTGAAGTTCTTTTTGTTGCAGGGTTTTTTTAATCAGCAGTTACATTTCTTCAATAAACCATATATCACTATTAATCTGGCTCTTTTCATGAGGAATGAAGATGTTTTATTTCTGTTTTTAGATTATCATGAGTGGGGGTTTATAGGCTGTTTGGCTTGCTGGTGACTTTTGTAAACCAGTTCTGAAGGCCAATATAATCAGTCTGGCCCCTGGTGGATATTCATTTTATGGCATGATGGGATCTGATCCCAGCAATGGCACCATAGTGTCAGAGCAGCCTTTAGAAATGTTAAGAACTTACCTCAGGTTTAACTCGCATTACTCTGCATTCAGTACATCTTATTGAAATGAATGGGAAGTTGAATCAGATTCTCAGAGGTGCTCTGAGAATTACACCTATCTCAGGAGCTCCTGCCACATTACTGAAGATTTTAAGGGCAAAACTATTTTGCATATTGACCAGAATGGACTGAGCTTAGTTGTCATCTTTTTTTTTTTTTTGAGATATATGTATATATATGGCTTACGGCTTATGGCTAACGGCTTATATATATATAATTTGTATCTGAGACCAAATTAGCCAAAACCAATTCCAAATTCAAGTGTCCAGAACCGTAAGTGGCCCTACTACTGGCAAACATCCTCCGCCTGCACCTGGGGCTTCAGATGTTTCCAAACCCTTTGGCGGGCATCCTACTTGCAGGCCCAGATTCGGATGCCCCCGAGTTTTGCACGCCGTTAGCCATAAGGCCCTCAGAACAAGCAAGGGAGGAGAATCCTATTTCTATAACCTGGAATTAAAGCTGCTGCACCTCACTAGGTACTGAACCACACCAGAAGAGCAGTTCTCCTGCGAAGTGGTTCAGGAAAACTGCCTTCATGGACACAGATACACATATAAGCCAGGTTTTTGTGGCTGAGCTGGCTGTCTGGTCCCAGCTATAGAGAGGGAAGGAGCTCCTGAGAGGACCACAGTGATTGGTGGTGCAGTGAGAGTGAGTCCAGCAGAGCTGAATGGCTTTGAGCGTATGGGAAGGGGGAAGGCAGTCTTGACGGATGGTCTTTTTGCAAGACTGTGGGCTTATTTTACTAGACATGGGATGCTGTAGGGGCATTGTGAGGCTTCTGAGAGCTCTCCAAAAGGGGAAAATACTGTCAGTTATGCCTGGGGCAGACCTGGGGCTGGGTGAGTTGGGATGGGGAATTGTGGAGGACTTTCTAGAAAGTGGAGAGTGCAGTGGGGGTCTGCATAGCCCAGGGACTCTGTGGGGGTTAGGCAAGGGCACCTAGCATATTCATGTGGCTATCTGAGGGCCACTCCCAAGTTTCTTACAGTTAACATCAAGGTGTGGGAAGGTTGTTAGAGTGCCAGAGAGGGAAACAGCTTGAGGTGGGCTGCTAGGGGGCTGCAGACTGCCTGAGACGCACCTATACAATATCTGCATATAAAATATTGCCCAACTTTTACAGGAGGAGAGTTAGCCACACTCAGTGATCAATGATAAAAGGAAACCTGGTCTAAATAGTGACCTTATTTAAGGGCTTGCAATTTACATAAGGTTGTCATGTCCCTTTTTTCTTTGGTACAAAAATACTGGGCCCAAGCTGAGGAGATGGATGGTTGGATAAATCTCTAAGACTCTCCTTCAAACAATCCTGCAGGCCTTGTAATTATCATTCCCTGTTCAGGGAAAGTGGCTTGTTGGTCCTCTCCCCTTCTTAGCAGTGCTCCCATAGCTTCTTATTAAAATTTATATAGAACTCCACAAATGCATTCAGCTGAATGAGGGAATCAACCTGAGCCATCTTGTACTTTTATCTCATCGTGCAGACCCTGATAGAAATGGGAATATTATAGTTGCATTCCACATGGAGTCAGTTAAAAGCACTGGAACGCTGCAGCATAGCTGGAGACAGGACGCGCACTCTGTCTCAGGGCCTGTATTGCTGGGCTATGCTGCACTGCTGCCATGACTGGGCTCACCAAAAAAATAAATAAAAACATTAAAAAACTTGATATGGCTTGGAAAAATCCTTGAGCCAGCCTAATATTAGGCTGTTGTTCAAATATTCTGATTATAAGACCAGGGCCAGTCAGTTAATAAGCCAAGGACTAGGAGCCAAAGTCTGGAGGCAGAAAACAAATTGAAGGGCTTGAGGAGGGGCTTGGTGAAACAAGTCTCAGTGTTGACCAAGAGGGTACAACTGCTGGTGCCGCACAAAATACCTGAATCTTAGTATCCACTCCTTAGGGCAACCAGTCTCACCGTTACCTGAAGGTATAGGTCTGAAGACTGACTTACCCTGCTAATTTCATTGGCCTGAACTAAGTAGATTGTAGCCTAGGTTGACAGTTCTGTAGTGTAGTGTAAGATAAACTCCCCACTGGCAGTTCTCTATATCCTATGTTTAGATGAGGATACGTATGATATTGCACTAGGTCATTTCTGTCTAACTTTTGTGATCCTGTTATGTTTTTGACAATTCGTTATAATTTAAATAGAAAAGAACTGAAGCAAACGTGGTGCATCATGGTACAGGAAAGTTGTCCTTTTGTTAACATAACACAGTGTGCTTTAAACATTGTGTTGGAGTTATTAATAGCACCAAGAATAATAGCACAACTGACTTCTGATAAATACAAGTATGTCAGAGAATGGAAGCTTCCGTCAGAATTGGCTACTGTGCTAAGTTTGAGGGGAAGCAGAATCCAAACAGTTTGTGAGAAACTAGAAAAAAGGAAGCAATTCAGCCTTGCTGTCGGGTCAGTTATATTTGATTTACACCCTGCTTCAGCTTTCTACTGCTGCCAAGTTGCATCCAATACACACTGTTGAAGTCTGTAGGGGCCTCGTTTCAATTCATATTCTACGTCAGTAAGAGCTGAGAGACTGCAAAACTTACTTATTTTTGAAAAACTTCATTGTACTTGTTTAAAACAGTGAGCAGTTAATAACATTTTCTGACACATTCTTTTAGGTTTTTCTATATCCTCTTGTTTAGCATTGTTCCAGCAGAAAAGATTCTTTTAACCCCAATACCTGTTAGTTTATCTCATTCCAACTGTATCTTGCTTTTAGCATGGTATACTAACTTCTGCTCATGATACAAGTTTTCAAGACTTATGTATGCGTCTAGAATAACATTTATTTTCATGCAATTTTATATGCATTTTGAAGCTAAATCTGTAATATCCTCCCTCATAAGTATGGGGTAACCAAAAATGAATTTCTGCACATATAAAATTATCCTCTGTAAACTTCCCAACTCTAGCCTTGTGATGCTCCCTGGGTATTTCTATTAAATACTAATAGAGCAGAATAAATAATTTGGAAAATTAAGCTATTCAGAAATATTGATATACAGTAATGGTATATAAATTGCACTGCATTCCAGCTAATGGCCTAGGACTTTCCCACTAGGATCCAGGTAGGTGAAGTTTGCCTAAAATTTAGTGTTTTAGTGCTTAGGTGAGAACTATTTGTTTTGCTTTGGTGGGTTTATGTAAGCACTTTGTCAAAAAGTTGTCCAACTGAATTTAATATCAGTGCAAACAGTACATCATGATGCTGCTGTAAAATGTAGCTGAACATTGTGTAAAATGAAAGACTTCCAATGAAGCCATGCAACTTAGCAACAATAGGTGGTAACTTTTCTTGTGTAAGGAAACAAAACTCAGGCTATTTCATAACTATTTTTTGTTTTATTTAATGATTTTATTTTTATTTTTAAAATCATTATTTTTATTTAATGATTTTAGCTGATGAATGTTTTATTTAGTGATTCTTGAGACCGTCTCAGGAAATTGAGGGTGTCAGTTGGGGGCCTCAGCTGCTTGTACACCAATGCCAGGAGCATGGGGATCAAGCAGGAGGAGCTAGCCCTCCTGCTCTCTAGTGGCCAATATGACCTGATAGGGATCATAGAGACCTGGTGGGACTCCTCACATGATTGGAGTGTAGCTGTAAAGGGCTACATCCTGCACAGAAGGGACAGAGTAGGGAAAGGCGGCAGAAGGGTAGTTCCCTATATGAGAGAGCAGTACACCTCTCAGGAGGCTGACATTGGCTCCAAAGATAAGCAGCTTGAAACTCTCTGGGTCAATCTACAGGGAGGGACGAGGTGAGAGAAACCTAACTGTAGGTATTTAGTACAGGCCAAGGAGAGGAGCTGGATCTGGAGTTCTGTTGAGAACTGACAGAGGCCACATGTGCAAGGGACTTGGTTGTCATGGGTGACTTCAACTACCTGGACATAGATTGGGAGGAACACTTGGCCAGTTCAGATCCTTCACTCAGTTTCCTGACTGTGATCAAGGACCTCTTCCTGACCTAGGAAGTGCAAGGGCCAGCCAGAGGTGAAGCTGTTCTAGACTTGGTCTTGGCCAAGGGAGATGATCTGGTGTGTGCCTTGAACATTGAGGGTAACCTAAGCAACAGCAACCCTGAAATTATCAGGTTCACTGTCCGTGGCAAAGTCAACAAATCAACCAGCAGGATTGAAGTCCTAGACTTAAAAAAATGATGACTTCAACAGACTCAGAGCAGTAGTAGGGGAGGTGATGTGGGACCAGGAAGGGAAAGCGAATGGGGTGCATGAAGAGTGGTCGTTGCTCAAGGTTACGATCTTTGAAGCATAAAAGCAAAGCGTTCCTGCAAAGAGGGATGGTAGCAGAAAGGCTGGTAAGCCCTCCTGGCTTAGTCGGGATATTGCAGTCCTCTTAAAAAAAGGAAAAAGAGGTGCACGCTCAGTGGAAGCTAGGGATGGTTCTCAAGGAGGGCTATACAACAGTGGCCAGCATTTGTAGGGAAATGATCAGGAAAGCCAAGGTGGTG